AAGATTTAAAATACTTCATTAAAATCTAATAACATCTTTGTATATTAAATCATTGTATATTAAATCATTCGAAATGAAACCACTTTGGAGTTCATGAGTAAATTATTAGAATTAAAATCCAAGATATACTGCATCGATTTTGAAATCCACACAAACAGATTTTTAGGGGGTGTTATTCAATCATGGAGTTAAAGTCAATTCTTTAAAGTTTAGATTTGCTTTCTGATATTGTTTTTAAAAATCTGTTGGTGTGGATTTTAAAATCTAATGAAGTATAAGATCCACCTTAAAAACAATATCAGAAAGCAAATCTAAAACACTTCACTAGGTTTTCAATGGCAAGAGAAGTTTTTGCAATACCAATATCTTTGGTTGTATATGAGTATTTTTTTAAGCATTATTGGTTGTATTTTAAATCAATGTAAAAGTTATTTGATTCATGGGGTGGTCTAAATAGGTGAAGCATTGATTTTGACCTAAAATTGGTTACATTATTTGGTTTAGAAAATGTGAGGTACTTGATAGTCTTGAGAAGGAGAAGAAGTATACTAATTCACTTAAAAAATTTATCTTACTTTTTGTTTTCAAGATTTATATTCAGCAATGATTCATATATATGCTCTCATGTCTAGTTTTTTTTTTTTTTTTTTTTTTAATTTGATTTTGTTAGAAAATGATGTGCACACATCAGATCAAATAACTTATATATATATATATATACATATTATTTTTTGCTGTAAAAAAACTAAATATTTTTAAATAGACATTGATATCTCTTTATATGTTAGTTAATATTAATAAAAACAGTTGATTAAAAAAGGGATTTTTATAGAAATGGACATATTTCAACCCAATAATTTGAAAAAAACAAATATTCAATTGAGCTTATAAGAATGGACATTTAGGGGGTGTTATTGGTTTGTGATTTAAATAGAGTTTTAGTGACTTTAATGTTATGTAGAATCTATTGTTATTCAATCAAGATTTTTTAAAAGTTTGTTAAAGTTTGGTGTTATTAGTTTAAGATTTGTAAAAAGTAATCTAAAATCTTCATAAATCTGAAGTTATTGGATTCATACTTTTATAAAGTCATTAAAAGTTTTGTGTTATTCAACTACAACAAAAGAATCTATGATTGTTAATGAATTAAATTATTATGTTATTGGTTTATGATTTTCTACACTTTTTTTCACAAAACAAAGTCATGAAAAGTCATGAAAAGTATCATCAAAATAAAAAGATTGGTTGGGAAACTTTACAAGATTATGAAATACTAATCAACAAGATTATACCAAAACTCTCTAACAATAGTTTAGAATATTTCATTTGTTTACTTTCTATGATTTTATTAAAGTTATCGAAATTCCATATAAATTAGGAACCAATAACACCCCCTTATTTGTATGAGAATTGACAATTTTGCCAATTCTTCTTCTTCTTCTTTCTATCAAAATCGATTTTCTTCTTTTTTTTTCCATAAAAATTAAATCGTTTTTAACCACATAAAACTAAGCTCTAAAGAATGATAGTATATAAGGAACCCAAGCAACAAATTTTATGGATTTTATAAGAAAATTTAGGTTTTGATATTGTGTATATATGTGTGTATTTGTGCGGTTGTGCCACCGGAAAGCTACCTGAGAATCATAATTAAACCCTAAATCAATTCACAGAAAGCTACCTGAGAATCATAAGAAAACCCTAAATCAATTCAAAGACATCTCAATTCTTTTGTTACTATCACCAAATTGGTGTCTTTTGGGCAATCATGAAATCATAAGGATATTAGACGCGATGGAATATCCAAAAAAAATTTTGATACCAAACTTCTTCTATTCATCATCTTTGTCGCCCATATCTTTCATCCTTGTCCAGCTGCTGAATTCCATCCAACTCCAATGCTGCATTCGTTTCTCCAAATGACAAATCTTTTTCTATGATTTCTGGTGATGAGGGTAGAAACATCTTTTAACAAACACAAAAGTGTAAATCTCTGTAAAGTTTTTTAGATTGTTACACATCTTACAAATTTCTTATTTTTAGTGGTTTGCATATAATTAACTTTTAAAAATAAACATGCAAATACTCTAAAGAACTTGAGAATTCATAGTGGAGTTTTTTTTGTATATAATATTCGTTTTCTTCGCTTTATAACTTTAGAATATCATCATGATTATAGTTCAGTTTCAATATAATGTGGACAATAAAAGTAAGGAAAATAAGAAGGATTTGGTTTAGTTATATATAAGCTTATTACGTAATGACCTAAATAGAAATATATTATTATCTCAAAGTGTAAGAATTAGAATTTTCGTACATTGTTTTTATTTTTATTATCTCTACGTTTGGTTAATTATTACGTTTTTGCTACTATTTATAGATGTTTAATTTCAATAATTAAGTTTTGTATTGATTAGTTTTTTTTTTTAAAACCTAAACCAAAATTAAAACTGAATCCAAAAATAAACCAAAATGCTTATTTCTAACTAAAAGTACTAAATAAAAAAATTTCACTGACCATAATTGTATAATATGATTATTATGTGGTTTGTAGTTTGGACCTGGAAATCTCACACATAGACAAAGTAAGACAATCATATAAGTTAGTAGGAATAATTTAGAAGTAAGAATCTAAAGAAGAATCAAAATAAATGAGAGAATTGTAACATCCATAACCCGGACGACAAATGAAATTGGCAACTAAAGACATTTTAACTACAAAAATGGAGACTATTAAGAAAAATGTAAATAAGAATGGAAATGAAAATAGGGAGGAAGAAAACGGAAGGTGACCGTAAATTATTAAATATTTCTATTTTAGAGAATTTTTTTTTTAATCCCGAGCCAAACCTAGTTACTCAATAATTCAAAAACTCTAGAAAAATATAAAATTGGATGTATAACGGAAAGAAAAAATTACGCAACTAACTTAAAAGAAAAGTCAGTGATATAGAATATATAAATTATAATAAGAAAATAATTTTTCATACCACCGCCACCGGAACCACCGTCTCCAAAACTGCCGCCGCCGGAACCACCGCCTCCGCCGACACTACCACTTCTGCTAGAACCTTCACAGGAACCAACGTCGAAAGCACCTCTGCCATTTTTCTACCTCTCTATGCTCTTAACTTAATTAATACATATAATGTACTATTTTTTTAATTTTTCAGTAGAACAGTGATATTCATGTAAATGACCAAAAAAAAAGAATCATAATTATAAAAGACAACTAATATTTTTAATTAAAATCTAAGGTTAATACTAAAATCATTAAAAAAACTTGAGAAAAAAAATAAAGATAAGAGGAAGAGATTGAAAAAAGGACATATATGTATAAGAAAAAAAAAACAAATCACGTGAGTGAAGGAAGAAGATCAAACTCGAGTTATTTAACTTCATACATAAATCCGCTTTAAAATTAACAATTTTATGTTTTGTCATCCGATAATTATTTTTTTTCCTTAAAAATAATCTTGTTTTACACTTTAATCTTGTTTGGTGTGACTCATGAGGTACCATTCTCGGGTCCGGTTCGTCTTCTTTGTTTCGTCTTGGCTGAAGCTCCTCATCGCTTGCTCTCAGTTGGTTTAGTTTTAGATGTTTAGTTGTTTAGTCGTGGGTATTTTAGGATGGATTCAATCTTTGGCTTGGTCTTCATATGAGAATTAGATGTTTTGTTGGCCCTTTCTCTGAGGTTCGGTAGTACGTCTTAGACGTTTGGTCCGGATTTTGTGGCTTTCAATCTCTGGTTCTATATCATTGGTGTAGTCAGGTGTGGTCCTCTTGTTGGCTAGTGGGTTATTGGATCTGATTACTAGTTCTTCCTCTCTGTTCTATCCTCTCGAGTTTTTGGTGCCTTGCGTTGGCTTAGGTTTGATTGATGGATTCGTCTTTAAGTTGGCAATTTGTTGCAGAGGCATCTACGGGTTCAAGACGATGCAGTGGATTCTTTCTCCATCTCTTCTCTTGCGTGGCGGTAACCTATCCTTTCTCTGTAGGTGGCTTGGGTGGGGCATACGAATGTCCGTGTGTAAGAAGTGGAGATCCTCTTTGGCGTTCCATCTCTCGGTTTTAATTGTTGCTCTTTGTTCTGCTGCCTCCTCGATGCATTGGTTCTTTGGAGTGGTAGTGTTGGATTAGGTTCTGTGCTCTGTTTTAGTTGATTCTCCGTCTTCATTTCTGCCGGTGTTGTGGTTGTGTGGGTTCAGTTTAGTTCCTTTCTCGGGCCTTCAGTCTTTTCTAGGGGCATTCTAATGATTGGTTCTTTTCAAGGGCTCCAGTTTGTAGCTCAGCTCTGGCGTCTCCTTTTCCTATGGAAGTGTTCGTCGGTTGCCTTTGATTCAGAGTTTTCAGTGTTAGTTCTTAGGAGCTTAAGACTTTAACCCTTTGTGTCTGTTGGTTTAGGAGTTTCTTCCTCAATTGTCTCCCTGTTTTGGGGCTTTTGGCTCCGAGGGTTCTATGAACTCGTCGGCTTTGTCGCTTTGGAGCATCCTATTTGATTGTGGATGTTTGTTTTGTGCTTTGGACTAAGTGGAAGAATCACTAATGTACTGGTATCTTTGGCTATGTTATAATAAAGAAGACACTCTTGTGACAAAAAAAAAAAAAACTTTAAACAAAAAACCACTATTAATATAGTAATATATTAAATATTGATATATTTCTATATCAACTTCAAAACTAAAACCAATAAAATAAAGAGAAAAATGTTTGTGGTTAAAAAAACAAAAACAAAATCCAGATTGTGATTAGAAAAACAAAAACATTTCTAGGGCATGTCATTGACTTCCTTTGAAGGAGAAGAGAGAGAGAGAGAGACACTGAAAAGAAAAAGTAAGAAAGGGAATGAAATAAATCCGATCGAATACAATTTTGACGTCCGCAAGGACACTATTCTCTCTCTTCTCATCTTCTTCTTTCTCTTCTCTCTCTCTCTACAGCGAAGAACAGGACACAAATTACTACTCTGAAGCTTAAAAAGGTATATACTTTAATAAAACCCAGAAACAACAATTTGTAGGCGGCAGAGAAATTGTTTTTACTTCTTTTTGTTTTCTCTTTGTTTTTTTGTGTTATTATCCCCAAACCCAGCAAAAAAAACCCTAAAAGACTACAAATTTCTTCAAGTTTTTGTTCATCGGAAGTTTTCAGATAGAAAAGAGTTGATTTTGTTTTGTAAAGTTTCTCCCTTTTTGTTTGATTCTCTTTGATTTGAGTCTTATCGGAGACTTATTCTTCAATTCCAGCTCTGGGTAAGTTATAAAGATTGTTTCTTTACTAGTAATCTCTGTTTTTCTCAATTAGGGTTTGATCAAGCTTCGTTTTCTTCTTTCTGGGTTGTTCTTAACTTTGTGTTTGTGACTGTTTCTGATTTTGGGTTTTTGTTGTTTTGTTTTAAGGTGGTGAGTTCGAAATGGAGTAGATTTGCTTAATTTGGATCTGTAAATTCATTAGTAATCAACAGAGACAGTGTTGGTTGGTTCTAGAATGTTCGACACGGAATCTCATCACTCAGATTCAGCGCTTTTCGACATCTGTTTCGTGGAATTTACGACTCTGAAGCTTATATTTACTCAGAAAGAAGACGTTTCTTCAACTTCATTGTGTATTGGAGATATCTTTGCTCCTACACAGAGCTGAGTTTTATAACATCGTCAGTTTTGTTCTTGCTTTTGTTGATTGTGAAGTTGTGAATTGTAAGAGTATGGTACCATCAGAGCCGCCTAATCCTGTTGGTAGTGGCGAAAACGTTCAGCCTTCGATTTTAGGAGGACAAGGAGGAGCTCCTCTTCCTTCTCAACCTGCATTTCCTTCACTTGTTTCTCCGCGTACTCAGTTTGGTAACAACATGAGTATGAGTATGCTTGGGAATGCCCCAAACATATCTTCACTCCTGAATAATCAGTCTTTTGTAAATGGTATTCCCGGTTCTATGATTTCTATGGATACAAGTGGTGCTGAGTCAGACCCGCTGTCTAATGTCGGGTTTAGTGGTTTGTCATCTTTTAATGCGTCGAGTATGGTGTCCCCGCGCTCATCAGGTCAATTACAGGGTCAGCAATTCTCGAATGTTTCGTCTAACCAGTTGTTGGCAGAGCAACAACGGAATAAGAAATTGGAGCCTCAGAATTTTCAACATGGTCAGCAGCAGTCAATGCAACAGCAGCAGTTTTCAACAGTGCGTGGAGGCGGGTTAGCAGGTGTGGGATCTGTCAAGATGGAACCTGGTCAGGTTTCGAACGATCAGCAGCATGGTCAAGTACAACAGCAGCAACAGAAAATGTTAAGAAACCTAGGATCAGTAAAGTTGGAACCGCAACAACTTCAGGCCATGAGGAACTTGTCCCAAGTGAAAATGGAACCTCAACATTCAGAGCAGTCATTGTTTCTCCAACAGCAGCAGAGGCAACAACAGCAACAACAACAACAATTTCTTCAAATGCCGGGGCAATCTCCTCAGGCTCAAATGAACATATTTCACCAGCAGAGACTTATGCAACTGCAACAACAGCAACTTCTGAAATCAATGCCTCAACAGCGTCCTCAATTACCACAGCAGTTCCAACAGCAGAGTTTACCTCTGAGGCCACCTCTGAAACCAGTGTATGAACCTGGCATGGGTGCTCAGCGTCTTACACAGTATATGTACAGACAACAACATAGGCCTGAAGTAAGCTTCTTACCATAAATTAACTTTTATCAGCCTATTGCTTTTCTTCAGAATTGACATTTGCGCTTGCTACTAAATGCAGGACAATAACATTGAGTTCTGGAGAAAATTTGTAGGTGAGTACTTTGCTCCTAATGCCAAAAAGAGATGGTGCGTTTCTATGTATGGCAGTGGCCGGCAAACAACAGGCGTTTTCCCTCAGGTTTAGTGCTCAATGAACTTGTCTTGTTTGTAATAGAATTGTAAAAGAGCTTGTGGTTTGCACCTGAGCCAGTTGTTTTGAATAAATTAGGTACTTGTTTCATGTTATACCTCTTTACATGGATGTTTTTATTCACAAACATTGCAGGATGTGTGGCACTGTGAGATATGTAACCGAAAGCCTGGACGTGGTTTTGGTATGTTATTTAGATGATCAGTGCTTGTGCTGAAAATTCATTTTTGGATATATAGCAATTTTCTGAAGATCTTATGGAATATTCCTTGCTCACTCATCCTTTGCCTGCTTTGTCTCTTTCATTGTTTAGAGGCGACCGCCGAAGTCCTCCCGCGGCTTTTCAAGATTAAGTATGAGAGTGGCACTCTAGAGGAGCTGCTATATGTTGATATGCCAAGGGAATCCCAGAATTCCTCGGGACAAATTGTTTTGGAGTACGCCAAAGCAACACAAGAGAGTGTGTTTGAGCATCTTCGAGTTGTTCGTGATGGCCAGCTTCGAATAGTCTTCTCTCCAGATCTTAAGGTTCTTCAAGCTACTCTCTCTCTCTCAAAGCAAATTATTATACCATTATTCTCTCCAAGCCCTTTATTCTTGTAAGTTCCTTCTCAGATATTCTCCTGGGAATTTTGTGCTCGGCGGCATGAAGAGCTTATTCCACGAAGGCTTTTGATACCGCAGGTAACTTCCAGAAAGATTAACCATCTTTCCTGCATCTTATGGGTTTATGTTTTTAACAAATTGATAAACCTAGTCTGTAAAGAGGCATATGTTGTTTTCGGTACAAAAGTTGTGATAGGAAGTTATTGCTCTGACAGATTTTGGAGATGTTACCATTCCTTTTGTCACAAAATTGAATATGTTGTCTTAATATTATTATAGTCTGCTTTTGTTTGCAAAATCATCACTTCACCTTTCCTTTTTTGTGGTTCCCAAATTTCAATACGAGTAATATATTATCAGTGAAAACAGCTTAGGTAATTAGCTATTTTTGTATTCACATACAGGTTAGTCAGCTTGGGTCGGCAGCTCAGAAATATCAGCAAGCCGCTCAAAATGCAACAACAGATTCTGCTCTTCCCGAGTTACAAAATAATTGCAACATGTAAACTTCCTCTCTTTCCCTGTGAAATTGATGTAACAAAATCCTGTTATTTGACTTTTGATTGGTGATCTCTGATGTGCTGCCACTGTTCTCCAGGTTTGTTGCGTCTGCTAGACAATTGGCAAAGGCCCTGGAAGTACCACTCGTGAATGATTTGGGATACACAAAGAGATATGTTCGGTGTTTGCAGGTAAATGAAGAATGTCTCAATGTGGATAAAGTGAACTCTACAATCTTGCATAAAACTTAAATACTTGTAATTAATGAAAATTCAGCTTTGAAAGGGATAATACATAAGTAAATAAACAAAATCAACCTTTTGAGTAACCATGTCCCTGTGATCATGTTTGCCACTGCACATTGATCTCTTGCAATATTGTAGATCTCGGAGGTGGTAAATAGTATGAAGGACTTGATTGATTATAGCAGAGAAACAAGAACAGGACCTATCGGTAAGTTAACATGACCACCTTTCAATGCAATTGGTATTTTTTTGATCTTAAAGCATCTATTCTTTCCCTTCATGTATTCTATCATCTTTTTATTTCAGATATTCCTTACGAATTATAGTAAATATTTCGTTGTTCTCCTGTGATTTGACTGATAGATATCTCTTTTCTTTCTTTGGTACAGAGAGTTTAGCCAAGTTTCCTCGGAGAACAGGCCCTTCATCTGCACTGCCCGGTCCTTCTCCTCAGCAGGCCAGTGACCAGCTAAGGCAGCAGCAGCAGCAGCAGCAGCAACAACAGCAGCAGCAGCAACAGCAACAGCAGCAAACAGTTTCCCAGAATACAAACAACGATCAAAGTAGTAGGCAAGTTGCACTAATGCAGGGTAATCCCAGCAATGGTGTAAATTATGCCTTTAATGCGGCCTCTGCATCCACCTCCACCAGCAGCATCGCAGGGCTCATCCACCAGAATTCAATGAAGGCAAGGCATCAGAATGCTGCTTACAATCCTCCAAACAGCCCCTATGGAGGAAACTCTGTTCAGATGCAATCACCTAGTTCCTCGGGTACCATGGTGCCATCATCGCAGCAACAACACAACTTGCCTACATTTCAGTCTCCAACATCCTCATCTAATAACAATAATCCCTCTCAAAACGGGATACAATCTGTTAATCACATGGGTTCCACAAACTCACCAGCAATGCAACAGGCGGGTGAGGTTGATGGAAACGAGTCTAGCTCGGTGCAGAAGATACTGAATGAAATCCTGATGAACAACCAAGCTCATAATAGCTCAGGAGGAAGCATGGTTGGGCATGGGTCTTTCGGGAATGATGGGAAGGGTCAAGCTAATGTAAATAGTTCTGGTGTTTTGCTGATGAATGGCCAAGTGAACAACAACAACCCAAGTATTGGAGGTGCTGGTGGGTTTGGTGGTGGGATGGGTCAGTCAATGGCAGCTAACGGAATCAATAATTTAAACGGTAACAATGGTCTCATGAACGGAAGAGTTGGGATGATGGTGCGGGATCCAAACAGTCAACAGGATCTGGGAAACCAACTCTTAGGGGCAGTGAATGGTTTTAACAATTTTCAAGATTGGAATGCGTGAAATGAAGATGAAGAAGAAGAAGAGACTTTGAACGGGTAATGTTTTGCTTGCGCAGCATCGCACAACTCAAAACTCAGGATAAGGATAGGCCAATAAGCCGCGATATTGTGCTTAAGAAAGGAAAGAGTCAAATCTTGTACCAATAACTGGTTTCTAGGTCACCTCCACAATCACCATACCATCTCTTGAGTTACTTGTTTCCTTTTTATTTTGGGGAGTTTTTCTTATGCTTTATAGTTATAATGTACATCTTTCTATGGGTGTGTTCCTTAGGGCACATCATCAGGGAGGCAATGAATCAAGCTCTATCCTTCATTTATCTCTCGTCTCTTCCATGTGTTAACCAAACTTTCCTAAATTCTGACCACAACGTTGAATACATAATGCCTTTTTGAAACGAAAAAGTGCAATGCTTATGTACGATGTCTATGGTTGGTCATGATTATTAGTGCAATAATGCTTATGTATGATGTCAATTGTTGGTAACAGAGTAATAGCTACTAATCAAATACCAAAAATACAAAAATATCTCTTAAACGCGCAAGATTTTACTCATAAAGTTTGTGTAAAATGTCATTCCACAAGTTTTGTGTATTCATACTCACATATGACTACGAGTTTCAACATTGAACAAAAGTTTTGTGTAATCTCAGAAAGAGTAGTCTTTCAAATCTGCTCTAGAGTCGTCCATGTCAATCTCAGACATGCATTCTTCAGCACTAAGAGGAGGGAGTTTACGAGTCTTACGCTTAAGGTTGTGTTTGTGCCAATCACTTTTACAGTGCTCTCTATATTCCTTAGCCTCCCCAACAAACGTGTTGCAAGTGCTGCATTTGGTCCCCTTCTTTTCTTCTCCACCTTCTTGCTTTATGGTATCTGCAGTACTTATCTCTTGCTTTTGCATTTTCTTGCTAAGTTCGATGACGGGATCGGTCAAATCCTTAGTTTCAGTATCAGCAGGTAACAACGGCTTGTGGGTCTGGAATGCCATATCATCATGCTCATCGTAATGATCCATGTTTGTGTCACCTTCTGCGTGGACCGATACAGCGAGTATTTCTAGTCTTCCCTGCATATTTCTCACATGGGAATCACACTCTCGGAATAGGCCTGGTTCCATCTCGCAGACCTGCACAAGAATGTATCACCACAATCACAAAGGATTATAGAAAAAAAAGAAGTTCAAAATGTTTGAAGATATAGATCATTACAGTGGACATCTGTGTTCCAGATTCGTCTTTGGAGACAACACTAGCTTCCCATTCCTTTAGCTTCTCCAGTAGTGAGGGGAAGTTTTGAACAGGAACAGTAAGGCGCAGTCTCATTGGAGAACGCTTTATCGGAAACTGCTTTTGCAGCTCACGGATGACATCAAGCGCCTGCATAGTTTAATAATCAAAATAAAGCCTCACATAAAAAGCCCACAAGTCACTTTGCTTCTACATTAACCTTAACAACTCACCTGCTTCTTGGAATTGCTATGAGGATCCACAGCAAAATGAATTTCATGCATTAGGCGCTCCACCATGCCGATAGTATAAGGGCGTTGGGTTTCAGGGTTGATAGTTTTCTGCATAACAATCGTTGCAATATCCCGAAACTGGCTTGAGAATTGTGATTCTCTCTCTTTACCAGCAACTTGAAGCTCTCCTTTCTCCAAAATCTGAACATGAGAGATGAAAATGCAACATATAAGACATATTTGAAGGAGTCATAACTTTAAATATCCAAGAAATCAAACAAGCCATAACATACATCGATGCATATTTTCGTATGATCATCTGATCCAAACGCCTTCATCAAGTCTTTAGATTTGGCAAGAACTCCTTTCGAAACATTTGAATAAACAGTATGTGACTGAAGCACTTCATCTATATCCTTCTCCCTGCATTATACATTTTGACTCAAATCCCATTACTTTTCCAAGAGGTCAATCAAAATATAGATAGGTTCCATGAGTAACAACACAAATTTCAACATAAATAAAGTTACTAATGAACTTGACCTCAGATGGAAACTAACCATCTTGAAGACATCAACTGACAATCGCAAACCTAAAACATAAATATGGGAGCTAATACTCGTTTCCCTTCAGATTAGGTCAAACACAACAAATTCATCATACTATACCATTTCTAAACATTATTTACAGAGATACACGGCTAAATTAAGCTTAAGACCTCCACATCATAACCGAATTCGGAAAGAAATCAACACAAGACCAGTCAAGAACAACACAAACAAAGATTAACAATGCGATTATGCTCGTTACCCTTCACATTAGGTCACCCTCACACTAAATTCATCACTATACCACTTCCTAACATTACTTTACAGAGAGATAAACAACTAAACTAGCCGTAAGACCTCCACATCAGAATCAAATTCGGCAAAATCAACACAAGACCAACGCAAACAAAGATTGACGATGCGATTATGCGAATCGAAATAACCAAATTCGACAAGATCAAACCGCGAAGAAGATAGATTGATGCGATTACAGTGTAGAAAAAGCAAAGAATATCGAAGCTTACACGCCAGACCGCCATGAAAGGACCTTATTCTTGTAACAAGCGATCTCGAAGCGATTGCCTTGCTTTTTGAGACGAACCACTGCAACATTCGTTAACCTCTTTTGCCCTACAGGCTGCACCAGCGTCTTAGACATTCTTCTCTCTCGCTCGTAACTTGGTGAATTTGGGTTTCCCTCTCGCCGCCACTAATTTTGGGATATTTTTTTTTTGTTGAAATTGTAAAAGTGATAGGTCTTCACTTTTTTATTAAGTTCGTGGCTAAATGTGAAGAAAATAAAAAAGTTATTGGCTAAGAATTAAAATATTGAAAAGTTTTGGGCGGTTAGGAAAACCGGACCAGACATCGTTACTGGGTGGCTCTGATCCGACTTGCCCAACCGGTCAGACCGGGTTTTCGAATTTTACAATGTTTTAGTTTCATGGCTTCGAATTTTACAATGTTTTAGTTTCATGGCTTCTCTTAGGCCTGAGATAAATATCCCCTACTCGCGGATATCCAGATCCGGATCCAAATCTGTTCCGAAAAACGGATATCCGACTAAAACGGATCCAGATACGGATAGAGAATTTACTGATCCGACGGATCCGGATATGAAGAATTTTTGTGGGCGGATATCCGGATCCGGATACATACAATCTTATTATATAAACTATGGTTTTCAAAGTTATAACTCACGAGATCGTGACACGTGTCAAATATTTCGATCTCAGATTTTGCCATGTGTTAAATTTTTAATAAAAAAAATAAAAAGATAATTATAAGAAAATTATAAATATAAACAGTTTGAAAATGTAAAAAACTAATTATAAGGAAATTGTACCTAACTATCTATATTTCCATAAGAGATTTTGCTATCTAGCAACCAACCGGTCAGACCGGGTTTTCGAATTTTACAATGTTTTAGTTTAATGGCTCCTCTGATACCGTCCCTCCAACCATTAAAACATCCAATAATCTAAATAATTATTCACGAAATGGGATATCTACTATTCTATTAAAATTGAAGTATAAATAAGTTTTTTTTTTTTTTTTAACAAACAAGTATAAATAAGTTTTTATCCTTCATTTTTGGAGGGTATTTTGCAAAATACCACTTACTAAACGTGTTTTAGTTTGATTCATTAAAAATATAATGATCTAAAACCGTACAAAACGGTTTTGAGAGAGCAAATCAAAGTTTTGTATTTTTGGTGAAACGATCTATTTCCCCACAAAAATTATCATATCATATTAGATAGAGCACAATCTATTACCACGTGCTAAATGTCTTCGAAAAAAATACTTTTCAACTTATATCCCCCTCAATCTAAAGTTTGAAACCTATTTCTCCATAAAAATAATAATTTAAAACCTAATTAACCATCAATGTTGGTTTTACTTAACCAAATAACAAAATATCTAAAGTGGAATAAACCTAATCTAAACCAATTACAGCTAATTGATTAGAAAGTATCTAAATTATTGATTTACATAGTAACAAAAAGTATAGTGGTGCATGCATGCGGAGAGATTTAAAAGAACTGATTTAGCCACCTATGTCACAAAAGTACACTTAGGGGGGTGTATTGGACTTCGTATTTTGGAAGAATATTTTGTGGATTTTAAATTTGGGGAGACTTTGAAAGATATCTGATGATTTGGTTGATTCTTAAAAAGATTTCTTTTACTTAATTATAAAATTCATATTTATTGAGATTTGTTACGAAACTCCTAGGATATTGGAGTATTTTGTGTGACATTCAAATTTAATTTTGGGAACAATATAATTTAAAAACTCATGAATCAAGATTATTGGCGTTTTTCTCTGTTTCCCTTTATCCTTTAGCTTCCAATCAACTCCATTAATTCTCTGAACAAGAACAAGGGCGATCAGCATCACGAAGCTTCGACTTGTACTCATCATCATGACTCGTTAAGTTTTACTCGGAGCAGCAGCCACTCAATGAAGCTTTTCATCACTATCAAGAAATTCCTCACATAGGAACAAAAAAGATTAATGATCAAGTGGTGAAACTTGAAAATTTCTAGTTTTAGTGATGAGAGTTTCATATATAGTAAAAAGAGAACCAGAGATCAGAGTGCTTAAAGAAAGATTTTGAGAATTTGGGATCAGAAAAAGAAAATCAAGTTCACATTACTGCTCCTCTTACTTGGTAATAGAGAGGCGGAAGCTATGTAACAAGCACGAAATCGAAGTCTCCTGGAGAAGACGATATCGAACTCGGATCTTACTAGAAACGCTTGACGTTTAAGTAATAGTGGTGAGAATACTCTTCTCAGGGCTAAAAGCTCTTTAATAAACTGAATTCAATAAAACCAAGATGTTCTACAACGTGGGTTGTCGTAACGAAGGACTGCTTTCCTCTCCGTGAATACAATAAGCTTAAGTCACGGAAAATTGGTCCACTTAAAGTGGT